CATTTTCATTAAAACTATAAATCATACAAATCGCACCTTTGGAATTGGCCTCATGCACCCTTTTATCCACCCCATCTCCACCTTCGCAGCTGCCTCTTGGTTACTCCTCACCCAGGTTATGGTGTACAGCTCTCTCATCACATGGCCAGGGGGCTGGCTACCTAAATACTCAATAAACGTCCTCAAAAGCATCTAGTTATTGGGTGTCATTGTTCCTCATGAAGATGAATGAAAAGATTTAAAAAATATGCAGTTTGTTTGGTCAAATCCATAAATTTAATATAAAACTTTCACCCATTCTTTATTACACGTCCATCAGATTTAGTTACACTAAAATATAGATATTTCACAGACCTCAACAAAACCTGACACTGCCCTAGTGAAGAGAGCGTTTTTAATTTACTGTAACAATGAAAAACAAACAAACAAACAAACAAACAAACAAACAAACAAACCCAACAATGTTATGTGTGTCTTATACAGTAAATATACAATAAAAATCAGAATTTGCAAGAGTCCGTTTTTTTTTAGGTCTCCACAAATGGCGAATTTGCGAATCTGGACCTTAATACATTATGGGAAAAATAGAGTATGGCTTCATGGGTGCAGTTTCCGTAGTAATATCTTTGTTGTAACTGTTGACTGTGGTATAAAGGACCTTTATTGTCAAGTGTGTTTGTAAAACTTTGTACTGTACTTTGTTCGTACTGTTCCACGCGACCTGTTAGAAACGGGCGGGCACCGGTTAAGACACACCTGACTAAGCATGACAATAAAAACATAAACAATATCTTGGTCGTGTTTCTTATGCATTAAACACGGACCGATGATACAACATTAATTATTTCAGAAATGCTTAATTATGTGCTTAATTATTGTTACTCTTGTTAATGATAATGAGCACTGGAAACTTAAGCATTGTTTTCCCCTAAAATTCAAGTTATTGCTTGTGTAAAAGATATACTGTGCATTTTATTTATTGTTTACATCATCTTTTATTACTATTGGAACATCATTTTTTTATTACTAATGTAATTGCAGCATTACTGTACTGTAGTGAAGTTTATTGCAGCACAGTAATAACTGCTTTTTGTGTGGGACGTGCGAGAACTGAGACAAATAATTTAGGTGACCTCAGATTTTTTATTTAAACGTTTCTTTTATTTCGCAGCGCAACACTGAGTCACATAGTCTGATAACAGGTCTACTCCACACAATGTACTGTACATCTAACATTTACCTGAAGGAAATTTAATAGCTCAGCATAACCATACATAAACAAGCTGTGTCTTTACTATAGAGACCAATGCAGGAGGGGTGAAGAACAGTAGATCCGCAATATGAAAATGCTTTAAACGTGTTTGCTCGCAATGACTATCCTACTGTGCTCCCACAAATAGGCAAATTTTTGTCAGTGAATTTGGAAAAAGTGGTCACTTATAATTTTTTTGTACAGTTTGATTGAACACTAAGGGTTATGGTTCCCCATGCACACACAACACTGTTTCTCATTGGTTTGGGATTATGGAAGAGATTGTTTGAAGGGAGAACTGCCGTAGCTCTCACTTTTCTGCAACTAAACACAAATACTCCTTCCAACAAGGGCAGGTGCAGTCATCTAAAAAAATAAGGCCACACGTAGGCCTTGAATACTGTACAAAAAACGTTGAACGTTGTTGTTATGGATGCTTGTTGGTTTTACTCTCAATACAAATTAAAACAATTTTTAGTAGCTGAAATTATGCGTGAATGCTCATTATAGTATTTCCGAATAAACTGTTTTAATCTGTACAACAATTTACATATGCTAATTGGACACCACGCTTGAGTTCTGTTTAATTTTTCTTAGAATAGGTTTTGGTAAAGGTGTGTTAAAAGCTGCTTCACAATTTTAAAACACTTTTTTTTTAAATAAGTTACTTATAGTAATTCCAAAGTTAAAGCAGAAAACGTTTTTTTTCCAAACTCAAAAATTGAAGAACCATTGAATGAAAAAGGCTATATCCTGGCAGCAGAGGCATACAGCACATCTTTTAGACACAGATTATGTTTAATTATGTTTAAGGATGTCTGCCTTAAATTGAAAAGGACATCACAACCATTAAACTGACCTTCTCAGATCCTAGACTCCTGGTAGCAAGACTCCAGTATTGCTCATCTCATGTGAGACCTTATTGTAGGGCTTGACATCTGCATATCGTATTTTGTGTGACATATTTTTAAAACATCTCCAGACTTATATGGAGAAAGATGATCTAGCTGGGAATTGTGGGGAACAATTCACACATGCTCTCAGCCTTGGGGGTTGCTGATTCTAATCATACTGTATAATATTTTCACAGACATCATATACAGTAGATTTATATATATAATTATTCATAGATTTGTATATATGTTGATTGGTTGTGTTGAAAGCAGGCCTTTACTTCAAATATTTACAATTACAACATAAAAGACTTTAATGAACATCTGTTGATGAGTTTTGTTTAAGAAACGGGGATGTTATTACTGTATTTCACACCATGTGGTGCAGCAGTAAAATTATTATACTGATATTGCTGCTAATATAAATTTACAAATGCTCAAGTATTAAATGAATAACCTAAGGCTTTGTTTCAAAATACAATTTGTTGTGGGTTTTTCACAAACCTGTAAAATTCTTTTGATTTAACATGTTCATCTCAGTCTGCCATGAGAGTCCCTTAGACAAATTACAGTATTAATGGTCTACAGTTACAGTTACAGTTATTAATAATAAAGGCTTATGGTTCCTCAGTGTGACAGTGATAGAGCTACATTCGTCTCATGAGTAAATTAAGTTTACAAATATGTAATACATTTTGTACAATACCTTGCCACATCCATTTGTGTTGTTCTTTCATGTTTTTACTTGCTCTGTTTGTTCCCAAAGTGTTCAAAAGCACGGCTTTCTTGAAAAGAGGGGTGGAGTCAGCAGCAGCCAGACCTGAGATTTGACCAGCCTACATAATGTGACCTCCAGTAACTGAAGAAGGATTGTGCCATGTACTGTATTGCTTTTGGGGTGTGACGGTTGCACAGTTGTTAATATAACTGCTTCACAGAGCTAGAGCACTTGGTTCAATTCCGGGGGTGCTATCTGCAATGAGTTTGTACAGTATGTTCTCCATCTTGTTCATGTGGATTTTTCTCTGACTTTAGTGTGTGTTTGTGTTTCTCTGTGTCCTGCAGTGGACTGCCATCAGATCCAGGGTATACCCTGCCTTCTGCTCATTGCTTGCCAGGATAGTCTCAAGCTATCTCTGAATATCCACAACTCTGAATTAGATATACTGTAGTTAGAAAATGAATATAATGCTTCTCACCTTCCAGAAAGATGACAATAATTAAATTGTTGTGAAGGTTTGAGTTCCTGGCTTCTATTCCACTTGGGTTTCCACATAATGTGTGTCTTCTTTATTGTCCCCATGTCCATGTGGATTTTCTCAAGGACTCCAGTTCCCTCCCATCTTGCAAACTCTTGCTAGCTGGGTTAATCAGTGTGTTTAAATTGTGTGTGTCCTGTGATGGACTGGTGTGCCATGCAGTGTGTAGGCCTGCCTGAGGCACAGTGTTTTCAAGCAGTTTCTCTGGTCCTTAGCAACTTCCTGATAATGGATGAATGTGTAAGTGATAATTACATATGTGTACAGTATTTTATAATTTGTGCATTTATAATTGGAAATTAACTGCTGGGATTTGTGAAATGCCAGACTAAATCTATTGAATCTAGCAGAACACCAGTTATTTGCAACTGTTGGAAGAGAATGTGATCTAAGGGTTTTCAGTTTGTATGTGCTAGGAAATGAATTTCAACATAGCAGTATGTACAATAGGTGAGTATAAGAAAAGAAAATATTAGAAAAAGCAACTCTTTTACATTTTTCAGTATTAAGATCCAAAAGAACAAATGTACAAAATAAAAGCTGGTGTCTTGAAAGTCCAAATGCATTGTGTGTCAAAGCGTCTGGACAGTAATTCAATATTTTACTTTTCCTGTTTTAATAAATTGACTAATAGCTCATGGTTACAGGACCACAATCTTCTCCCCCTTTCTTCACACATGGCTGGTATAGTACTTTATATGACAATACTAAATAATCCCTCTGCTGCCTTAAATACTGTTTAAGGACTGTGAAAAGGTGACACACTATTAAACCAGCATAACAGGTGGGATTAACAATAGCTCACAGTACATCTTCAATTTCATTTTTAGGCTAGCTTCATAGCTAACTTCTGCCACTGAACGTTCTATCTCATTGACATGGATACCTGTGATTAAAGAGCACCAGCTACCATTCAATTGTTAAAGTTTTCTAATTAATATTATTTTATGGCATTTGAGGAGTAAATCTGCAGCATAATTTTACGATTATGGACACAGCATCATGAAGAACACCTCATTTGATGCCCAACTGTTCAAGTTACTGTTGATCAATTTCTGGCTCATGTGGTCCTGTAGTTGAACTGTAGTGTAGATACGTACGATATCAGTGGTCTGAACATTTAAATCCTCTTGAGGCACTGGTGCACGCTCATCCCTCTCAAAGTGGTATTGAGAGAATAGGACCAGCGTCGGATGCTCAAAAGAATTTAAAAACACCACACACGCAGGTCTTGAATCCTGGTTGGTGGTCAGTCCCAGAACACTGACAAAACGTGCTCCCTTCACTCTTATGCTTTCACGTGTACCTGCAGTCTTTGCTGTCCTCTGTTATTTCTTGCAGTGATGTATACAAAGCCATGACAAGAGGGAACTTTTCAGAAAGCTTCTCCAACATTTAAACCAAATCAAAATCAGAAGGAGACTGGAAACCATACCATATATGATGGCACACTGCGGTTGGTTGGTCAATGTAACTTAACAATACTGTCTTAAAAAATTTCCAAAACTCATTCTGGGGAGGAGTGGCAATTGTAATTCAAACCAAATGAACACACAAAACAATGCACATTAGTGAGTGAAAACCAGGAACACTAGATGGCACAATTTAAAAGGTTTAATAAGATCAGCTCATTGAAACAGAAAAGAGTAGCTAAATAAATGTGGGACAACATTTCCATTTTTGCATGCATCTTGAATACAAAAGAAAATATTCCTGCAAAACCACATTTTGAGCAGGAAAGAAGCTTGTGATGCTTTTCTTTCTGTCATAATGAATACTGCACAACCAGACGGCCTGAAAAAATTCAAAGAAAATGCGCGCACCTTAGCTACTCATTCATAACCAAGAGATGCAGTGAAAATGGATGAAAAATATACTGTTTATTCACAGAAACAGGCTTCATAAATTGACATGTTCATCATACACATTTCTGAACAAAGATCTGAAGGCTGGCAACAGCAATGCACCATACTGGCATGTGGTTAGAAAATAAGAACAAAAAAGTTTACAAATGAGAGGAGGCCATTCAGCCCATCCAACCTGTTTGGTAGTTGGTAGTTAATTCATCTACGGATCTCTTCCAGCCATTTCCTGAAAGAAGCCAGGGTATTGGCTTCAACAACATGGCTGCGTAGCTTGTTTAAATTCCCATGACCCTTTGGGTATAAAAGTGCCCAAGCTGTTATTAATGGGAATAACAGGTCGTGGAGTGATGAGGATCTTAAGGTGTTAAAGATGTAACCTTTTAGATACCGGGAAGTATACAATGACAGTGATATACAGTGTGACCTGTACCTAAAAAAACTATTTTGCATTCCATTTGAGATTTTACTCATTTTCTGTCAGAGCTTATCAGGTCAAAGCAACATTATCAGAATATGAACACATTGCTTGCTCATTCATAATCGCGTAATGAAATGTAAATGTAAAATTCATGGTTTATTCACAAGAGTATTCTACATAGATTTTAGCCATACAAGTGAAGACTATAATGCTACTTTGGAGAAATGGATAAAAGATTTTTTTAATGTAGGCAAGCGTATTACCTAGAGTCCCTTGACATTTTCTGTCCTTTATTCAGCAGTCTCTCTGCTACTGACCCTGACTATCAGAGATACCAATGATTTAAAAAAAGAAACTGACCTCAGTTTAAAAAAAAAGTAACACACTATTCCACTACATCTTTCTTAAAAAAACTCCTGTACTGTATATGTTTGATTTACTGTACTTAATGGCAGTTGTACTGTATATGTATCAGGGAGGACGTTAGCAAATAAGCTGTTTTATCCATTGGTATCTGAGACATAAGGATATTATTTCATATGATTAGAGGTCCATTTAGTAACACAGCCTCTCAGATTAAGGGGTTCAACATATTTAATCGCCAGAGAGATTTCTTCATTCTAACTATTGTATTTGTCAACAGCCTTATTTTGAATCAAGTAATTTGTTGCATCTGCACTGTGAATTACTTGGGATACCACAGGTGTCAGTGTGTGAGAAGCAGCTTCAATGAGACTCAATAACAGTTGCCCCCTCTACCCACACCCCCCCAAAAAAATCCACCTTTGCTAGTTTTGAAGAATCTCCTTGGATTATAATGACAATACTTCTCTCCTCTGGTATCCACAACACAACGCAAAGTTAGCATCGCCTTGTTTATTTAAGTTTAGTTCTTGGAGATCAGCCTGATTTTATATAAGTTTCTCCTCAAGACAAAATAAAAACATGTAGCTTCACTTTGACATGAAAAAAACACACCTGTTCTAACAACCACTTGTGAATAGACAAAGGTCTCCGAAAACAACATTCTCTCCACTGTGTACTGCATATAACACTGCATTATATTTTATGATCTCACTTTACTGCAAGGATGCATGAAGATGTCTGCATCAAAAAAAACAAGAAACAAACACATTGCACACATTATAATTGAGATTGTTTGAATGCCAGTCATCACTCGTTCGTATCAGCCTTATGCACCAATCCTTCCAATACAATTCAGTGGCAGGTGCTTTTGCGGAAAAAAAATAATATATTTATATATATTTTATATATATTTATATATATGAAATGGGTTCAGCAACTGTACAGTTTTTAATGCATAGCACTTTGCAAACCATAATGTGTAAATAAATTATAAAATACAAGCAACTCCATAAAACAAGCATCCTGAGTTTACAAATAAATTATATCCTTCATACATTACTATGGGAAGGGTAGGGTGTGTTAGTCACAGCAGCTCCAGCTGTTAAATGTGAAAAGGTGACAAGGGTGGTAAAGCATATGGGGCAAATTCAGAATAGAAAACAAGCTACTGTATATATAAACATTTAGAGCTGAAAACGCCTCATTCAAGCACCATATATTAACAAATATTAATAAAAAGTGTGTGTTGCTGTTGATCACACAGAGTCAATGTTTTCTTATAAAGCTATTTTTTAAAAATGAAACTATTAAAAAAAAACATTTCAGTTCCTTCCGATGTGTCCGTTTTTCCATACACAGAAAACCAAAACAAAAATACTTGATGATTTTTACATCAGACCTTGCTACGTTTTGTCCATTAATACATTGATTAGGACGTACATAGCCTGGCAAGAACATATAACACAGCTATGATGTGCTGTGAAATTCTTCCAAGAAAACTGTAGAATCTGTGCAATACTTCCAATAGTACAATCTTGGCATCTAGCTCCTCATGGCTACAGAATAAAGGCCTGAAGTTCGTACTCGTGGGCCTGACGTTTACAGCGTTTCATATTTGCTTTAAACCGAACAGTTTATTTTTACAGATGCATTTCACTGCACTTCACTTTCAAGCTTTAAAATCTTTTTCTTCCAAGAATCATTTGCTCAAAAGCAAAATATTGATCTGAAAACTGGCTTGAAAGCCTAAACTTAAGAATGGGAGTAAGAGGCACAACGTTCCAGATGTTAGACAGTTAGGGCCAAATGCTACAAATACTACAGAGCTACAGCATGAAACATTATAGTATACCAAGCAATGGCTCTTCGTTTCAGTCTGCTTTACCACCCATCCATCATGCTTGTAGCTATTCATCTTTTCATCTTCTCCTTCTCCTCTGTTTCTGTGACAAATATTGGCAAATGTGCGAGACCAGCAAAAGGAACTGAAAAATTGATTACAGAGAGTATAAAACCTTTTTTTAACATCAACTCGGAGTGGTCTAACAGTACATTAGAAATAAAAAAGTAAAAAAAAACAACAAAAAGAGACAGTTCATTATATGCCGCTTCCCAACTAGTATATAACAATACAAATACAAAGTACTGATAAACAGCGAGTCAGAAGGATAAAACACCAAGTATAACAAGCTGTATTTTTTTTCTTGTTTCATCTAGTTAAGCTAGCACCATCTGTACACAAATACGGGAAAAATGTTTGGATATTGAAGTCTTGGCAAGGCACTTGTAGTCCTTTTTTTTCTTGTCTTTTTCCTCTTTCTTTGCTTGGCAAGTTTCTGTTCGCAATCTGTCGGCTCCTTTGAAGAGAGCAAACTGTATATACACACAACCGTAGTTTCAAAATTTTTCTCAAAAAGTGCTCTTTTGGTCTCAAAAGAGATAACATCCTCAAATCTCAACAATCCTTACATGTGGCCCCGTTCCCCGATACACCCTTTCTTACAGTATTTCTGTATGTTTGTTTATCTGCCGATCCCAACAGGAAACATACACTTTCCCATACACATTCCACGAACAACATTCAATGGTTTCATTCAGTCCTCGCTCTCAGGGTGTCAGGTCTCCTCTATCGCCGCCTGGAAGTGATATCGAAGCAGGTGATCATCATGAGGTGGGCCTTGCAGAAGTTGACTCGGCTCTCGAGCCGCTCGGTGACAAACTCCAAGGCCTCTAGGTACTCCAGAGAGTCCACCTCGAACGTCTGCTGCAGGTCAACTGTCACAACAAAAAAATAAAATATGACATAGCGGTTTGAAAGCACGACCAAATCCTGATGTAGGTCTGAGGATAGCATATGTTAGGTTATTGAAGTGTATCATACCATACCAAGAATTTACATCAGTGTCCATTCAGTGTTTTAAATAAATGTGAGAATAAAACTACTTTTTTATCTCCTTTGATAAAAAAAAAACACAACTCCCTTTTACATTTCTTATGTATTGTGATTATTTATCTCCTACCACTTTACCATACCACTTTAAAAGTAATGAATAAAAGCCTTGCCTTGAGATTCAAAGCTAGGCATAAAACTCAAAAACTCTTTAAAACTTGGATTATTTTAATTGAAAGTATTTTTGGTACCTCAAAGCTAAAGATGCTATAATACTAACAAAAAATTAATTTACATTTTGAACAGTCTATTTAATTTGTTAATGAGTTGTGCAAATAAATATTACGTATAATACAGTAGGTTGTAAGTAAAAAATCAATATTAAAGAACAAAATTTTATTATACAACATTAATGCAACATAACCATAAATCAAGTAAATTTGGGGAATTACTGTACTGCTACATCTGAAATGTATGGTTCTCAATACTCTGTAAAGGGTCTGTATGATTCTCATTTTGACAGCAGTGTAACCACTTTCAAACCTGATATTCCTACTGTAGATTGGCAGTAGCATGAACTAGAGCTTAGGGATCTGGAGACCAGGAGATTGCTCTTGTACTCCAACGTTACATGCATTGGTCAAGTAAATGCCCTGATGCTCAAATCGGTGTCCATATAATTGCTGTAAATGAAAATTCCTTGCCTTTACCAGACAAAATCAGAATTCTACATGACAAAGTAAAGAGAAAAACAAATCTCAAAACCTAAACAAGGCTGGGCCTGATCAGTACTGGTATGGGAGACCTGTAAGGAAAACAAGGTTTCTGGTATAAGAGGTACTGGTGGACCAGTAAGTGGCGCTCTTTCCTGTTGGCCAGACTTTCCACAACCAATGTTCCAGAACGATGAATGGAACAGCAGGAGCTGTACTGACTGCTTGGTCCTGTGGCATTTTGTGCAATGGTTTCACATTTCCTAAAATTGCTTGCGCAATTTGGCCTACCTAAAACTAAAATTTAATTCAGAAGGAAGAAGCAATTTCTCAGTTTTGATATTCTGTGTAGTAGGGCTAAAGGCACATTATGGTACCAATGCACTTTGTGCACTTCAATGGTAGCTGGAGTAAACATATATATCCTATATTTTAGGTGCTTTGGAACCCTTTTGGATGCAAAATGTTAAATACATAAATTGTTTTTATTAATTTTGCTAAGCAGCTAGTTTTTCACCTCTGAATAAGTGAGATTAGACATAAAAGAAAGTTGCCATATTGAAGGACAAGTGCCATTTATCATTAATATTTAATAAAAATATCAATGTACCCATGTACAGACATAAGAAGGACACGTCTGATGTCACTTACATTCACTAGTCCATTTTTCAGGCTCCAGCATTAAATGCTGTTTGGTCACCTCCAGTTCTTTTTTCAGCCAGTCGTACTTGGCACGAACTTCAGAAATGCGCTGCTGTCGATGCTCCAGAATTTTCAGTTTGGCACTGAAGTAGACCACCTCCTAGCAGCAAGGAACATTAAAAGTGTGAGACCATTAGCAAGCATGCCAGGTCTTACACTAAAGCAAGCTGTTTCAAGAAATAATAAAAAAATTGCACTTAGCTGTGCCAGACCTCCAGACACGGTTTCTGAATCTTGATAGAGCAGACTACCCCATGTAGAGATTTTATTATTTGTTTTCAAGAGCACAAATGAAACAAATATCAAGGGTGGCTTTTAGGCAGATGACTATCAGTGCAGTTGGTTATGAGATTACTCCTGGTTCAAGCTACTATAAATAAGTCTTTTTTCTACTAAAGGGACAAACTAATTTCAAGGATTATTTGCACAATATATTTAGACAAGAAGAATTAGTGATTCAAAAGAATTATATCTACCCATTTCCTAACTGCTTCATCCCAGTATGGGTTCGTGGATAAGCGGGAGACTATCACGGCAAGCAACTGGTGAAAGACAGTGTTGACCCTGGACAGGGCGCCAGTCCATCACAGGGCACAGGGCAATAAAAGAGTATGTATTTTATTTAACACAAACACAACTTAAATGGTTGTTTAATTAGGATATTTTGAATTACCCGCATGTAACATAAAAAGTATGGTAGTTATCTACTCAGAAAAGATACATAAAAGTCTTTCATAAAAATAACAACTCTTTTATTTGTGATTCCTACAATGTGTATGAAAGTACAGAGCAACATGTCTTCCTATTATCAATGACTGGAATCAAATTCACTCCTAATGCACATCACCTTCAGGATTGTATGAACTGGAATATGGACAAGTGTCTCCTGACCACGTTCCTTACCCTGCTGCCTGCCCCTCTTCTCCTCTGCAGGCGCTCCACATCGTCTATTTCATACACTTTGATCTCGAATGGCTCGGCCATCCCTCTCTGTGCAGGCCGCAGTGGCCCATCCACCCAGCGCAGGCCAGGGCTGGGAGTGGGCTTCCCAACTGGAGACGAGGTGTCCAGAGTCAGGGCCGGAATCAGACGACGTCTCTGGGACCCTGCCGACCCCAGAAAAACCTCATCAGCCTTACTAGCCTTACTGCGAACACACACACACACAACCAAATTTGTATTCCTATCTTTCGGGGTCTTCATTCTGTTCCTACAGACTTACATCTGTGAAGGAGAGGAGGCCATTTGTGATTAGGCCCATTGAGTTTGTTTCATTTATTGTAGTTAAATGATCTGAGGAACTCATGCAGCTGTTTCTTAAAAGAAGCCAGGGGTATCAGCTTTGACAGCACAGAAGGGCAGCTTGTTTCAAATTCATACTGTACAATCATTTGTGTGAAGAGATGCCTCCTGTTTTTGGTCTTAAAGGCATTTTACTGCACTTTCCACTTTTTGCACCCTCGTGAGTGTTGATTCTAAAGAAGTGCAATGGTGCATTACCTCAAAGAATTCAAGACATCCCCTTCTTGTCTTTTTTATCGCAATTACGATTATTCTACATTCCAGCAAAAGAAAACTCAACATGGAATGAAAATACAATATGAAACAAATATTCCTGGTGAAAAAAATTAACTTCATTTACAGCTACAGTACTGTACTTACAATGACTGTTTTTGGTCAATTGGTGTATCTCTGTGTTTCCAATTTTGTTTCTGAACACTGATAGCGGTGCACGCACACAAATTATTTTTGTTTTTGTAAGGACTGTCCATGCTCTCATATTTTATTTTTATTTATGAGCATATTGTTCCAAAGTGACAAAAACTCCATGTGGGAAGAAAACAGGCCACAAACCAATAGTTTGGGCACTTTTAGTTTTAAAGGATGCCGCTGTCCAGATTATATCTACTGCAAGTAGGGTAATTTGCCTTGTGAGGTACTTTTGTACACACAATGTATTTTTCTCAAGGGTTGCTTTCCCTGTGATGATATTTTCACACATCTAGTAATACTCATATATTCAAACGTTGATAATCACTACAAATTTCTGTTTCTGTTCACCTCAGCTTTACAGTGTTGAGCGCAAGGATATAATTTTGTTGTGTGTCAGCACTAATTTGTATTGAACTATAGAGTTTTGAACTGAAATCTAGTTCTACATCACAATGGAATGCATACAGAAATACTGTAACTCTGAAATGTGTTTTAAATCAAACATTTTCATTTGTTTTATTATTTGATTTCTGGGTGAGAAATTATCACATTTTATTAACAAGCGTGTTGCAAACCTGAAGAAACAATATATTAACACATGGTTTTTAAAACAAGTTGTAAAGTGTTTCCTAGGTGATCTTAACAACACCACACAAATTAAAGGCTACATTATGTTTGACATATGAACTGAAATTAAAAAAAATGTGATTTTTTAAATGAGATTGGGGAAAATTATTTCCACAAAGTCCTGTGTAACATATTAAGAAGATATGTCAAACTTCCAAGAACCCTTTATTAAGTTCTCCCAGGTGTTCTATTTTCTGGGTCTAAAAGCATTCAAGAATGTTGTTTGTGAACATACATACTGTAAAGAAGCAGTAGAGGAGGTTAGTTACTAGTGCCAAGGAGATTAAATGAAACAGATTCAGAGGTCTTATCAGGCCATGACACATATTAACAGGCCCTCTTCTGAGTAATTTATGAATGGTATATATTTGCATGCAAATTAGTAGCCACAGCAATTTATTATTTGATTGAAAACACAGGGATGTGAGTCATTTAATGGCCTGTGTAGTTGCTGGCCAAAAGAACAAGTATAATTATCTAGACGTCTGTAATTCTCAGCAAATTCATTTAGTACCTTTTTCTTATCCTGTTTCGTATCCATCTAACTAATATCCGTCAACATCTATCATTCTCAAAGCCAGAGACACTCTATTCAACTGATTAAATAATTTCCATCTTTCTCTCTAGCCACAAGCTTATTCAACTTGGCCCCCAGCTTGTACTGAAAAACAAACATTCAAAATGTGATTATTATGCCCACTTTCATTGCATTTACTACAATTTAATGTTCTTGCTATAGTGGGAATCAATATAATTGTTGCAGATTGGGAGAAAGGTGATAACCAATACAAGTCATGAGCAAAATTTGCTTATTAAGAAGGTCTAAGGGATTGAGAGCATAATTCCAATCCTGTTGTTACACAATACCGACAGTGATGGACTCATATTCCACTTTTTCATGCCTTTTGCTTGTTATGTAAAATGGGGGCTTAAGTTGTACATTTTCAATTTGCCTAGTCAACAGCGAGTACTCCACTCTCTCCCTGATCAAAAATGAGCTACAATGGGGTATTTGGATCACTTGCACTGAGCACTATGTTGAGCCCTTTAAGCTATATGCAACACCAACTCAAACCTGGACTACAGTATGTGGATCTGTCATTAGCTGCCTGTGGCTGGGAGATTTGGAATAAAAAAGAGTCACACAGCTAGCCAAGTGCCACTGGTGTTTGATAGAGTGTCCTCGAATTTGCAGTGCCAGCAGTGAGAGAGATATCACTTCTCATTAATGCTCACTCTCCTGAAAGTGACTGGAACTCACGGTACAGTATGTCAAAAGGCAGCTGCCTCAACAGCAGGCATGTCATAATCTTTGTTACCTATGTACTGCAACAGGTATCAAAATCAGGAGCAAAGCTTATCAGCATTTAATGTGGTCCCTTGATTTTATTTACACAGAAGATTTTAGGGCATTTTGTTTTGGGTGGGTTCAACCTCACTCTAATATGTCTTAGTAAAAGAAAACGTATTTTCTGTATGAACTCCTAAATACAGTTCATCTTTGGTTTCAGCTAAATTTTGCTGCTCTTTTGGTTGTTCTAACTGCCTTGGAGCCTTTGTAAACACTTGTTTATTGATAATAACATTATCATAGTATAATACTTAGTGTTTTGGGTACAACTATTAACACACTTTACCACCCTGTAGCCTGATCATGTCAGACTGAAGAAGATAAGCAAGGCTGGGCCTGGTCAGTATTGGAATTGGAGACATCCCAGTGGGAAATCAGGATACTGCCGTGCCATTAGAGGATCTGTATATGTGGACCAGAATTTCACAAAACAATGTGGCTGGGGACACTGTGCTATAAGACGTACTATACCAGACTCTTTCTCATTTCTAATCAAGATTGCCATTTAAGAAGTGCCCACCTTCAACTGACAACAGTTGTCAGCAGATGACAACAAAAACATTGTACTTTTCATTCTACCACATTGTTTTGGACTCCGCCACCGTGTTTGAGAGATGTTCTGGATTGTTGCCTTTTTATTATTTAGTTTTTCCAAAATGTAAATGAAGATGTTGACAAGAGCTTTACAACTGAAAGAGTAATTTACTCTTCAACTGCAACAGCAAGTACCCTATGTCTGTGACTTACGATCACTCCTACCCGAAGGTCGTTCCTTGTCTACTACTGTTATTATTAGTCAGCTGTGTGGAGTGGTGGTTAGGGCAAAACTGTAGATTCAACTCCAGAGTGTTGAATCTACATACTGTATTCCCTGATATACCTTGGGAGTGTTTGTCTAAAGTCACTTGTATAAAATGCCCATTTGCAATGGGAACAAATGTATATCATTTTAGTGATTTACACCAAAAATAGTAGTAAAATTAAGAATATGTACTGCATAATACACTGCTATGCGGAGCTTTTGTTCATAAAGTCAAATAAATGTAATAATATGGCCTCCATGTTGCAAAATCAAGGTAAAGCACTCAAGATTACTAACAAACCCCATCAGAAAACATTTGTAGATACTGTATAAAATCACAATATTCTAGTCATAATACTGTACTCATAGAAACTATCATTTACTTAACATTTCTGTTTGATTGGTAATGTTTCAAGTTATGTTGATTATTTTTAATTAATTTGTGATACTTTGTTAGCTATTTTTCTCAATTGTAAACAACAAAAAATATATACCTGCTTTGCACTGACAGTTAACGCTTGCAAAATCAATGCTGGAGCTTAGCTTATGAGAAATGCATAAGACATCCAGAAAGTATAATGAAATGGCACTGCTTTAATCATTATTCTGTGGGTGAATATCACCAGCAGTATTTTTTTCATTATAATTAATGACTTGTAAATTGGTGCAACATCCTTTATCACTACTGATTTGATCTATCACTCCAAGCTCTTTGCACTTCTCATGTCCCAGTAATTAAAAAGGAAAATCCTGCCTATCAGGAATCCTTTGTTTTTTTTAATTTGTAGCTCACTAAATTAGACAGTACACATGATGAATACAAGCTCACTATGATGTGTATTGTTCTTGTTCTATCTTGGCCCAACACCTTATAAACCGGTTGAGAAATGAAATGGATTTAATTGCACGGCGTGACACTAGTGGTTTATTTATACCTCAGATGACAAAAGAAATTGAATGAAGGTGAAGCATTCTAGAAAATAATCACATACATGTGTAATTAATTTCTGCAACATTGTACATGACTGCACAGAACGCAGTACAGAGAGAAGGGAACCGTCCTCGGTGAGGACTGTGTCCAGGATCATGTTGCACATGGTCAAGCCTTCTTTCCAACAAATTGCAGACACATAAGCATACTAAGTGAACTTTAAAAGTTTTAGAATTTTCTGGAAAAAGATAAGTGACATCCTGTGCCACCCCATGACAAGCTCCCTCTTTCTATTTTGTCATTCTACACAATGAAATTACTGTTCTTTTTTGTCAACTGTTCTTCTTCTTATTATCACTACTGTAAATAGTAAAACTAATAAGAATTATTTAGTAATACATAATACTACTGTAAATAGCCCAAGACAGTCTGTGATTGGCTCTGCTGTAAAACGTTATCATCAATGTTCATTCATTCTAGCCATGCTGCTTCTCCCTCATAGTGAATGAGCATTAGTTAGGGGTTATTGTTAATCTTACTCAGTTTCTTTCAAATTTAATTCTACGCTTAACAAACGGCTTCATTTTAAGATAACTTTAAAAATTAAAATCGTATGTTATGGTACAGAGACCATGTGGTTCTGTTGTCCTTTTTTGACAGCTTTTTATCAGAACTGAAGAGATATTATTAGAACACGATTCTGTCATTTACCAAAATGGAAGTAGTACCATTTTCCTACCCTCAAGAAATCATCTTCACCATAGCATTACGTTTGCTTTAAAAGGCAAAGGTGAATATTTACCAGGTTATACTGTATAGCTGTCTCATGGACCATTCACTTTACATGTGGAGGTCAATAAACTAAACAATGAGGGGGCTTACCTGTATTGTTCCTTTTCTTTGGATTTTTGAGACTCCTTCGGCCGCTAACAGAGCTACTGTTCTCACTCATGGAGTCCTGGGCGGATGAGGCGCTTCCTGTTGCCTCACTGTCTCGAATCATGCTCTCATAGCCACTGCTGCCCCCGCTGTGATAGAACAGAGCTGTTTTCCCCATGGCAGGAGGTAGTTCTCCACTCAGGACGCTGCTGTTGTCACTCCCATGGCCACTGCTGCAGCGGTGGGGCTTGCGGGGAGCAGTAATCTTGCTGTAGGGTGAAGGCAGTGTCTGAACGACAGGCTTCTCATCTCCAGGCATTGCTCTTTCGTCAGAGTCTGAGGCCCCCCGGGCATGCCCAGATCGTGAGCCACTGCTCCCTTGGAGCAGTTCAGAGATTCGTCCATTGACAGCTCTCAAGGGCAGTTTGGAAGCTAGCCCTGAGCCACGGTTCCTGCTCAGGGACTGCGTAGACCAGGAAATCTGGTTCTTCCCATTGGGAGGTAAGCTGGAACTCCTATTCACAGACTGAGGGAGTGACTTAGTGGAGAAGCTCAGTGTTTTGGTGCTGGAAGCGGACAAGCTTCTAGCTTTGGGGCTGGCAAGGAGAAGTTTGCTGACTGCCGAAATCTTCGACTGTGTTGACTTGGGAGACTGAGGTGTACTGTTGTTCCCATTCGAACCTGTGGGTGAAGACACAGAGCCACGGCTGAGGCTCCGGCCTGTCCTAGGCATGGTACTGTCTCTTCCCAGACTAGTCTTGGAACCAACTGAAGTCAGGCTCTCAGCCCTTTCTAAAGACAAGCAGTCATAATGCCCAGCGTGGGACCTTCCAAGGGAATTGGTCCTGTTGGCTAACTGCTCTAACTTTGCACTGAAGAGCCTACTGCTGCTTTCTACATTTGGACCTTTCAGTTTTCCGTTGCTTCCCAGGTCATCAGGAGTGCTTCCTATGAAAGTAAGTGTCTGGTTTACTGTTTGATTACTGCCAGTCCCATGCTGGGGGCTTGCTCTATTTCTCTGGTCCAGACTGGATTTTCTAACAGGAGGCAGTGGTGGGATTCCTTTAGGCCTGGAAAGAATGCATTGCTTTGCTGACATTCCCCTCCTTTCAAGTGTGGCTCTTGGGCTGCAAGGAGTTGAAGTCGTAGCCCCTATGCCATTACAGTCCCCACCCATTAAACGAAGGGAGGACTCTTCAGGATCATCTTGCTTGTTCAAGCGGTGCCATCCCCTAGGCAGACTCCCTGTCTTAAGCACCTCAGCTGAATAAACAGGACTGTGGCTCTCAGAAGCAGATAAAGCCATCTCACACCCATCGACAACTCTCTTTAGGTTGTCACAGTACACTGGGGAATTGGCGACTTCCCCACTACTTGAACTGAACCTATCAGCAGAGTTCCAGTTTCTCATTGGATCTGAGGCCCTTTTTTCCAATTTTGCTTCAGAAATAACATCTTTAGCTTTGGGCTCATCATTATCTTCTCTTTTCAGCCAGGGATCATCAAATTTGATATCACTGGACACAGAAACAGCTGGTGCTTTGGTTTCTTTAATCTGAAGGGACTTTAAAGCAGAACATTCTTGATTCGAATCCTGCAGAGACCCTGGTTTCACTGGAATGCATGGACGAACAGTTATATTTGCCTTGATGGGTATATAGCTGTCTGAGACTAAAGTGGGCACATTAGAAATGGTGATGGCTGTTTTGCCCATGGTTGATACCTTACAGTTTTTAAGAGGAGATACCTTGTTAGACAGGCTCTTCTCATGAACTTTCTCTGCAGCAGCAAGCAGACTTTCACCTCCCCCATTCCGATGCTGAAGAGAATCATCATGTACATCATTATGTACATCTTCTGACAGGTCAGTTAGATGGGGATCTGCCATAGCCTCTCCTTGTCCATAGGACTGTTGGGCAACAAAGCTGTGGCAAGACTGCTCTCCATCACTACCAGTGCTCATTTCACTGAGCCAAGAGCTGATGGAAGAACAGCGGCTACTGGATGTCAAGGCTTCTACATCCCTTTTGGGGACCGGCAGGAACTTGGTAATGCTAACCTCTGAAATTGTAGCCGTGGTGCAAGCTGCAGCGGTGGAGTAGCACTCCAGATCTTCACTGATGCTGCTAATTATGCTGACTGGACGAGAGCCAGAAGCCAGGGCCTGGACAGAACAGTCACTGTTAAAGCTGATAATGCTGGTAGGCCGTCCATTTTCCATCACGCCACTGATGGTTAATTCTTCCACCAAAGTGAACACCAGCTCATCCTCTCCATTTAGCTCAAGAGGCTGCTGCACTGTCACTGTCGTTGTGCTTTTCACCTCCTTCCTATTCACCACTGACTGCTGAGTAAGGTCTTCTGGCGAGGTCTCAGTGGATCCAACACTAGTGAAAGAAGAGGACTTCTTCATGACCTGTGGGCTCATTCCCACAGGTGATGTTCTGACTTCAGGTTGCAGCAAAGATTCACTGGAGGACTTTCCATTGTCCTTGTTCATACTCTGTGATAATAGGGGGGCTGAACAAGGCAAAACACCTTTCTGAGTATAAACCTTGCAGCGCTGGGATGGAGAAGAAGGTGGTTTATAGTCCGAGGTTTTGGTTAAGCTGGCGATACCCAATCTGGGAGATCCCATGGGACGTGGTTTTGCTTCGCCAGAGCTGGTAGTATTAAGGGACTCCTTGCTACTATATAGAGTGGAATTTTGGGCATTCTGCAAAGAACCAGTCTGTATATTGCTACTCCCTGTGACACTCCTGCTTGAAGAAAATGTAGAAATGCTTGGCAAAGCTGTGAGAACACTCTCAGTGTGAGGAACAATGGCATTCTGAAGAGCCTCCTTTAATTGTTGTTGTTGCTGTCCGTTAGACACTTTATCAGACACATGAGACTCAGAAGCCGTTTTTATTTCAGGTCCTTGTGTCAGCAATGATTCATACTTGGGCCCTGGATTTGCAGGAACCTCTTCAAAGGGAAATTTAGTAACCTCCTCACTACCATCAATGCACTCCAACCTCTCCTGAAGCTCAGCAAATGTGTTGCACTTCAGGCAGTCCTTCTCGTGTTTGCCAGTGTCGGCACTTTCCTCCTGCACCAGCTGTTGTAGCTTCCCTGGCTCTATCTTGTTCTTCTGTAATGATGGAATGATGGGCACAAAGTCTGGAGGTCCTTCATTGTCTGTCAGTTCCTTGTCAGACAATGCGGAGCCATTGGGACCCACATAGATGACAGTATCACAGGACTGTTCACTGCTTGAGGAGTAATCTGGATCACTGGACAGGTGCAGCAGAGGAAGTTCTGGGTCAACCACATTTCTGGAATGGAAGGGTCTCAGCTGGGTGGGGCGGCGCATTCTTCCTTCTTCACAAGAACTTTCGCCTCCAGAAGAACTTGAAGTGTACTGCTTTAAAGACAGAAACACTCTAAAGTGTTACGCACATTTTATCTGATTTCAAAAGCCTTATGTATCTAAGAGAGCTTCATTATGTAAGAATATCAAATTAAATTATTAAATATTGCAATAGCATGTGTGCAGCAGGTTCATGCATAAAATGTTGCACATTTGACAAGACAATTGTTTTATGTTTTTACCATGATCACTAAAACTAATATTTACTGAACTCTTCACACTGCAAAGGAAATGATATGGACAAAAGTCTCAAAAGTGTGAAGGCAGCCCAATATGTTCTTCTTTCTGCTGGAAACGTCCAAATCCAGGTGTGCAAAATTAAAAAACTTTGGGTCAACCAATGTCGGAAAACTGATTTTGTAAACTATATCCAAAACATAATGCATGATACTCATTTTGGGGTTGATGTGCCTATTTGAGAACGTTACGTCTTTTATTCTAAGAGAAAGCCAACAAAAACATTGTAACACTAATCTGGGCATATTTCTCCTTAAGACACTTACTTTAGTTTTCTTCTTCTTCATCCTTAAAACACGGGATGCAATCTGGATGGTGGACAGCGTCTCTGCGAAGTTGCTAGGAGCTGCAGAGATATGTGCAATCATGGTGGTTCGGCAGTTCATGTTCCCCAGTGACTCACGGAGTAGCATGGTGAGTTTGCTGTCCCTGAACAGAGAAAAAAAAAGAGATGCATTTCAGTGCCCGCAGTGCACACTGTTACAATGATGACAACACAGTTCTATTTCTGGACACAATGCCAATGAGGTAGTGCTCGCTAATTTTAATGTAATATCCTTGACAGCAAATGCAATTTCGTTCCCCCAAGCATTGGAGACTATGTACAGTAAATGTTCCCTTTCTAGTCTAGACTAAGGCAACTAAGTGCAGTAGGTTTCTATCATTTACACGCTCACGGGGTTTCTTGTTTTTCAGTTTTATATTCTCATTTGCTCACGCTGTTAGCAATTCTAATTTTAAAAATGTTAATGTCTACAGGAGTGGTAGCTCAGGCCAGTGTTGAAATATGCATTTCTGTTTCAGGCACTACATATCACTGTTATACAGCTTTCTGCAACTGGGTAAATTCATGTGATAAAATTCATTGCCGATTAAGAGCTCATGCATGGATCTGGAAAGATGCATCTATAAGATTTTGTTCTATTCACAGACATTGCCTTTGTGAGAGTATAAGATCTGAACTACCACTGTGCCATGTGTCCTATTATTTAAATAGATCTGGATTATCCTCTCCTAAAAAGGGGGTTTTGCTTTATATTCAGCTATAGTTCTCTTGTCTAAGCAGGTTGTGCTGCAGGTCTTACTTTGTTTTAAAGGCCTTGACATTATATTATAAAATTATTTTAAAAAGTGCAAAACAGGCTCCTCAGCTGCTCTAGTAGTAAGGGCACTTGACTAAGCACAAGCGGAGCTCTATGATCATGGGTTCGAGCCTGTGCTGTGACTAGGATTCCCCAAGAGACAAAGGCAGGGCGAGATTAGTCAGTCAGGGCTCTCCTGGCTCTCAGGAAGAGTGACCACTGTGGTCACCCAGGCACTTGCGAGCAGGCAGTGCTGTCAGTGAGGGATACACTTCTCCTCCAATCAGGGCTCTGCTGCCTGTGATGTGTTATTAGACCAGTGGCTGAAAGGCTGGCCGGGCAGAGCAGTCTGCCTACACTTCCTCATTCTCAATGATGGGCGGTCATGGAGTTCATAGCTGTGAGCCGAGACATGAAAAACATACACCAGGGGATTCCAAGTCTGGTCGGTATTAAACAATAAACTCACTCTAAAGCACCAAAGCAGAAAAGATACAATTGTCTTCCATGTTTCCAGTTTACCTCCTTACAGTGCATATACTGTAGTACGTTAGTTATGATTAAAGATAGGCTATATGAATAGGACTGTGTCTCAATCACAGTGCAATAGTCAATAAAGTCATTCTTATTTTCTGCTGTATCATTTAATTAATTAACTCTTTAATTTCCATTTTTACCTTCATGTTAACTTGAAATTTCATACACACATTCAGGATAGTATGACATACAATTACTTTTTCAAAAATATTATCTGAAATTCTATTTTTTACTGAGATGATTAATTATTAGACTATTACATTAGAAATGACATTAAAAATGACATTAGAAAGTTATTGATTGTTGCTTAGCAACATGGCATTTAATCAAATCATTTATGGTGCTGTCTTTTTTATTAAAGAAAGACTCGGGGATCTTGAATGGCCTTTGATTTCCTTTTCTAAAAACTACTGCACTACCAGAAACTGTACACATTTAATTCTGTTGATAAGTTATCCATTATTGTGTCCTCTCACCTCATATGGTTAAGTACACTTACACTATGAACAGAAGACTGCAACACCTACCCTTTCTCCTTCACTTCAGATCTATGATGCACACAAGGCTTAACACTTTGTTGTCTGTTCTGTCAAGTCTGTTAATATTTTGTGTTACTTCAGTTTAGTGGAGCTTCAGTAATAACAATTGTTTGCAATGATCACAGTCTCTAAGTAATTTTAATAAAGGTTTAACTATAACATAATACACTGTAACCTGATAAAGTAAAGGTATAAACCCTATACATTATCCCAATAGAGAATATTTGAGAAATAGCATTGCAAGCTCAATTCCAGCCACATACTGTATATTCTTTCTTCTATCCAAAAAATAGTTACCACACTTGGTTGTGTGGTGTCTAGCAAGCAATCAAATTCATATTTCAGAATCTCAAACTACCAGTTTAGTCTCACTACAACACTAGACTTTTATAAACATAACTGACAAAAAGTAAGAGAGAGACAGACTCTTATATAACCACTACTTATGATAGTGAACTAAATTGTTTTGTGTATTACCATGTATCACCATTAATGAAAACGGTTGGCCTTGAATTAGGGGAATCCCACCATCCCTTGTCTTGTGTGTGCAGAATGGCTCGTTAGTCCTGAATCAAGTTATTATTCTTTATTCATTTCTCAGTCTAATGGCCTCTTAAGACCAGACATTGTGGTCAGTGCAAAATATGATCATTATACAGTAATCCATCAGAAGTCTTACAGTACATTTCCTGTAAATTGTATGTACTGTAGTAATATTTTTTTCATGAATAGCTGTTGGCAACTGCTCACTATGTAACATTTTTCAGGATTTTCATTTTACATTTCATATTCACATTTCATTTTACGGGAAAAAGTTAAACTAGTGAATTTTAACCTTGTGTTGAGGCTTTCAGTATATGAGGTACAGCTTAACTTGATGGAAGCATGATTATTATTCATTAAATAAGCCTGAAATCGCTTGTGGACAAATTTAAAGCATAAATAACTGGATTTTTCTTCATAAGTATCGCTAATTGTTTTAAAAGCAGACCAAAATGTCTGGTACAACATCGTACGATATAGGCATGTATATGATCTATTTTTTTTTCTAAAAAAAGGCTTAGATTGCAGCTATTTAATTCTAATTACATGAAACAGAGGATCAGTGACTTCTGCAGAGAATTTATGTTCCACATTTAAGTTATCATCCCATAATATTACAGTTCATCTAAATGGCCTGAAACTCTAATTACAGTTGAGCTCTCTGGAGTGTTTACAATTCCTGCTTAAACTGACGCTGTGTTTTGCAATGTAAATTCAGTACATTTAAATTAAAATGCCCAGGAGGTCAGGAGAGGATCTGGCACATTAGAAAACAGACTTTATTGAATCCAGCTATCAATTATTTCATGCCAAGCCATCTTTCTTTAGCGCTGTGGCTTGAGGTTCTTTAACATCTTTTGCAACAGAAACTGCTAATCCAACATCCAATCCTCATGCTCATTCTAGTTTTACTGTCTAAGACAAAAAAAGATTCCTGCTGCCAGTGCAGGTATGCTATCGAAGGTCCACTGACGAAGTGTATCTTGAAAATGATGCCACTACAGTATGTGGTTGCTTAAAAAGCAGGTAATGCCTCAATTTAAAGCAATTTAAAGAGTTTTAAACCCATATCAGCAAGAAAACAGACATCTACGAAGACTTTATACTTCATAATCAAATCAAATTGTGATGTCCTTTTTTCACCACACCTCAGACAGTCAAATGCTAGACGTAATAAAAAAAGCTTACTTGTAGGGAATGTGCTTGCTGCCATTGACAAGAGCGAGGATGACATTCCCCAGAGCAGAGAGTGACAGACAGAGTCCAGAGCTGCTGTCCCTGTTCTTGCTGAGTACTTTCACACAGCTGCCCAGGTCGATGAGATGCAGCCGGCTTCGCCCCCCAGACACTAGCACAAGAGAGAGGGAGAGAGGGGTCTGACTCTTTGGGTCACTCTTAGTTAACTTGAAAGATAATGATACAGTACTTCTACATCTTTGAACAAACATGTTTTTTTCTCCAATGCTAAGCCTCAGATGACTTAAATGCCTACTGATGGCTTCAACCTTAGCAGAACACAGAGAACTAGAGAACATACTTCCTGCCCAAACAACCTGCAATGACCCTCAAACCTGATCTCATAAGTATTTAAGTTGGATAATCAATTCATGTCATTCAAAGAATTTTGAACCCACAGATGCACTGCTTAGGCCTCAGCATAACCACTCATAAAAATGGAGAAGAGGTTTTAGCCAGAACATCTTGCTCTTATCACTTCTGTCAGGCTTCACAGTTGTAATCGGAGTCAACTTCAATAGAAAACTTAGCTTTTATCATAGCCCACTGCCAAAGCTTTTTTTTACCCATCTTTGCTTGTTAGCTTGAAGGTCATTTTGTCATTTCAATGTATTTTTTACTGACGCAGAAATCACATATCCCTCTATTCACTCCCAGAGCACTATGACACAGCTTGAGAGGAAAAACAATCCAGGTCTACTGTTGCCCTTGTGTTCCTCAGGCGTCTACATTTTCAGAAAGTTTACTGCTTTTATGGATTGCAAGGGAATAAAAAGCAAAAGAAAGCCTAGATTTTCTGAGACATACACAATTCTGAAGTGACATATATCCATCTGATACAAAGTTTGTATGTAGAAAACCAGGAGTACAAGATATTCCAGTAGAATTTGTATCATCCAATTTTACATCTCACCACTGAGGACAGAATCATAAATTTCCTTGGACTCAAAAAGGTAAAATATATTTTATATGTGTGATGTGTTCAGAACTTTCATAATTTATTAAACTTGGGTCTGAGCTCACTTTTTCATTTTAGATGACTGCTTAGAATCCAAAGACTATAATGACACCTACACATTTTGCATCCATACGTCGACTGTAATGATATTATATCTTTGCAGATTCTTGACTAGTTTTTAGATAACCACCTCTTGGATTGCTTTATTACAGTAAGAAGCAAAACCAGTGTCCTAGTTGTTTGCTTCAATGTGTGAGCTCTTTGGACGTGAAAGTGTTTTTACATAAATTATATGTACTTCATTCCTGAAAAATTTTAATTATGACTCCAAATGGCAAAATGTAAACAGCAGGTTTTATTTTCAGTTTCTGTGAGGCCCCTGTATCAAAGCCAGATGCCACAGTATTAAGCATGGGCTATTTTATGATAAGGGAAATGGTTCGTGCTCTTTGTTGCCAGATTGTGTTACAGCTACAGTGCCAAGATGTGACAAGGCTACACTTCACAAGTTTTAAAAAAGAAAAAGCACTGTGTAAATGGAATTTATGCACCCCAATCCCATAGAGCACAGTGAAAGGACGAATATACAGTATGCACTATATGTGGGGTCATGCTAACCAGAATCAAACAGGCTAACACAAGAAATAAGTGATCAAAAAGCCATACTGGTCTACAGTCCCTTAGGAATTATACATTTATATCAATCAGCAGCTAATTCATTCAAAAATATGACTAATGTGTGCATTAAATATATAATCAGGTCAGTCAATTAATACCCATATGGGCTGGACTGAAAAATGACTGCTCTACGCTGATCAGAGCTGATTGCTCCCTCTTAGAAGTTGTTCACTTTAGAGAGTGCGGAGAACCCACTCCCATCTTGCAGCCATGAAAGACTGGGAGCTCGCCGGACGCAAGACGGCGCCGCCGGACTTACTGCCGCCCTTGCCGCTCTTCTCCATGCGGTACTGGTAGATGTGCAGAGTGAACAGCATGTGGGAGTTGCGGTGCTCGTCCTCGTCACAGTCCGGCTTGCTGCTGTGTCGGGAGGCGATGGCCGCATCCAAGAAGAAGGCGGCTTTCTCGGCAGTGGGCGCCCGTAACTCGCTTTGGTTCTGCAGCTAGGTGGGAGGGTGGGAAGCATTCACAAGATCAGGGGTCGCGTGTGTCGCAGGGCTTGTGTGCACGTACTGTATTACGGTGACACGGAAATGTATTCATTTCTTATGCAGATTGTGATCCTAACTCTGGCCGCAAAGATTGGATCAAAAATAGATCACTTAGGTTCATCAGATATTTGCCTTCTCCAAGCAGATTGTTTTGCAACCACTTTCACGGGGAGGATTGGCATAAAGAATAGGTTTACAGGCTTAACCCTGTTCACAACTGGCAGCCCACTGAAGCTAGCCTGGTCTTCCAATTGCTGCTGGAAGAGGTGTTAGTGGGGCCAGCAGGGGGCGCTCAGCCTGCAGTCCATGTGGGTCCTAATGCCCCAGTATAGTGACGTGGACACTGTACTGTAAAAAGGCGCTGTCCTTTGGATTACCCTGGCATCCTGGCCAATTTTCTCATTGACCTTTATCAATCATGGGCTCCTAATGATCCCCATCTATAAACTGGCTTTATCACTCTGCTCTCCTTCCCACTGATATCTGATGTGTGGTGAGCGTTCTGGCCCACTATGGCTGCCGTCGCATCATCCAGGTGGATGCTGCACATTGGTGGTGGTGGAGGGGAGTCCCCATTACCTGTAATATGCTTTGAGTGGAGTGTCCAGAAAAAGCGCTATATAATAATAATAATACAATATTTTGAAAACATTGTATTTATTGCTTAAAAAGACATTTCTCTTTCCCCAACTGACAACCCAAGGCACTGAATCAGAAATTCTAAAGTGAGATAAATATTGAATAACTGAAAGCTTCTGCTATTAGTTTTAGAGAGGATTAGAAATATTTTCAGGAGGATACTAGAAACACAACTGTTTTGTCCAAGACTAATCAAATCAACATTGTCATTGACGTTACTATTTGATAAAAGCGAATTCCTTTTTAAACATTTAAGTAAACCTACTGTATATGCTTAAAGTTGAATATGCTTAAAAATATATTTCAAGCCTTGAGTTTAAGCAGAACCAGAACCTAGTCCTGGTATTATTTAAAGATCTGCTTTGGCAAAAATTACAATAACAGAGTAAATGTTATTTTGAGAGCTCACATCATTGCTGCACTAACATTACACTAAGACTTAATGTGTGTGGAGTACGCTATCTACACTTTTGACTTTGCCTGTTATTCCTGTATTTAAATGTTAATACCCATGAGGGGCTAAACTGGGAATATTAACTTGTTTCCTTTATTTAATCTACATTTTCTACATTTTATGAATATTTTACAGCTCTTGCTTTATGGGAGAAAGCTCGTATGCTTCCTCTTTGCAGCCTTCCCCCTGTGGGACTTCCAAACAGCTTCAAAGATGCACAGTACACTCCTCCAAAGCAGTCTGTTCCAAGAACAAATGGAAATAAACATTCAGCACTAAATCATCAACTGTTTTACAACAAGCAGAAATGGCACGGAGTGTCATTTTTTAGTTTGTGGCTCTTTTTCAAGTGTCCAGTTAATGATCAATATTATGAAGAAGTATAGCTATAAAAACAAAAAAGAACTCTGAATACAACACTTAATCTAACTGTGGAGATTCTGAGATATACTGTAACATTATCCTATGGCATGTTGAATCTGTGAATATCAAATGGTATCTTGATATCTGAGGCAGTTTTCTGATTGTTTCACCTGCATTCCACAGATGGGGTCCTCGCAGAGGTACACTCCAGGAGACTGGCCGTCTTGCAGACTGCCTGTGGCCACTTCTGACAGCAGGTCCTTCAGGTTCTCATCCTTTCCCCAGACCTCGACTGCAGAGACACGCACCGAGAAGCGGGCTCCCGTCTTCTCCTTCCTCTCGTTTATCAACTTGAAGAGCCAGGATATCGCGCAGGGGATTATTCCAAGGTTTTGCATGGAGTCATCTTTTCCAATCATGGTATATGACTTTCCTGTCAGGCAGAGAAATGGAAACAGTTTAGAGCCACATTGCAGGTGGAAGCAGGGTGACGATATTCAATAAGGATGCATGGAGCACTGAATTTCTAGTTTATTTTTTATAAGACCTACTAAAAGGAAGCGTTTCTAAATCACCATCACCTCCTAAAAAGAAGGTAGTGTAAGGGGAAGGGGTAATAAAAATGAATAGTCAACTTTCTATTGATTGACATCTCTGTTTCTCAATATAGTGTGCAGATGCATTAAATGTACATCTGCAGTCATATTTGGTAATTACAAGACTAATGAATTGCTACATAATAATGGGATAAAGGTGTTGAACCTCCGCTGACCAGGGCTGTATGGACTTTCTGTATTTTGTTCTACTCCAACTCCTAATTAGGCCACTGAACAAATTATTTGCTTCATTGAATGAATTTAACAATTTTCCACACTAAGATTACTTAGAGGTCTGAGGCCTATGAAACCCTGAGGACGGTGACTCTTGAGGATCTGACCATGAGGGAATTTGAATAAGGATGTCACAGTATCCTATTAATACTGTTTACTACTGAGATTGCATACATAATGAGAAATGTTTTTTATGCTTTAGATCTGTACTTAGATCTCACATCTTAGTAATAGTAATGTTTTATTTCATATTCCATGTTGAAAAAATATATGTTTTTATATCTGCAGACGGGCTGAGCACAATCTCTTCAATTCTGCCTAGTTCAATCCCGGATTATGTGCCATTTAATTTACTATTGAATTTTAACAGCATAATCAAATTCAGTCCCTTGGATAGCTCTAAAATCTAGTCTAATCACAGAGTGACATTTGCTCATGAGTTTTCCATTTAAATCTTTAACAAGTGCCCTGGGATGCTTCAATAGGAAGTGTGCTCTATAAAATTCAACTTTTATTGTATTGACAAACACTAAACCATAAAACCATAAAACCATAAACATGTACAGTACATCACTGGGAATAATCAATTAAAGTTCTAGCAAGTTCTTAAACCTGTCATTTATACTAGTCACTCATTCAGTAATCTTCCCCCATTGTCCTACACCACCCTATCACCATCTTTGATAAATACATACAAAGCCATTTTCTGTTCTAATTCTCTCATAGCAATAAGGCTAAATAACATTTATGTCCATTTAATTAAAATCCTCTGTGTATTTTACATTGTTAACATATTCTAAACATAGTGTTAAAGTTATTCGATAAAATGTTATAATGTGACATTTACAGCACTAGTTTTAAATCTCTCTTTTATGTTGCTTGTTTTTTTTAAATTAGCGTTTTATTTGTACCAAAAACCATAAGATGAATCCATCCATGCAGGAATAGACATTTAAAGAATTACAACAACAGCCCAACACAAATCATGGTATTCCAACCAACAAAAACCGGGGTATTCAACACTTGCCCAAGCAAAATGGAAGGTCTAGAATATAAAATAGAAGAAATAATAGTCTAGGCCTTGTGAAAGGGACAAAGAAGAAAGACTATATGCAAAATGTGAGTAAAAATAAGCATATTGTAACGAACAGTTCTTTCGGGACCCTATGCGGACAACACAGTCCGACGGAGTGGGGAAACACTAGGGAAACGTCATGCAGGAAAACGGGGCAGAAGACAGGGGGGCGTGTCCAAGGTGCGCTGGTGCACGGGGGAGGTGTGGCCGAGGCGAACAATCCAAAGAGAAGTCCTTAGGGAAAATCCAAAACGCAAGGGTAAGTCCAAAACCAGGAGATCCATCAGAAGAAAGAATTAAAAACACGAAGGCCGGGACGGAACCGGCGGAGAGGGAACAGGAACGTGAACGGGAACCGAGGTTAAAACCTTAACGGGACCAGGCGCTTCCAGGTCCCGGACTCGTACGATATGGAAATCAGATGCAGAGCCCGGATGAGCGTCAGCGCCTGGCTTTTAAGGTGGGCTGGGAATGGGAAACAGGTGCAGAGAATGAAGTCTAAAGTGAAAGGGCTGGAGCACCCTTAAGGAGGGGGGACTATAATCGTGACACATATCTTCTTCACATCTTGTACAGTATATCTTATCAGCTACAGTAGATTCCTTTAACTATTTTGTTTCTAATTTTCCTACTCTAAAACACAATGTCAAAGCGAAAGTGTAAATTCACAGCAGAGCAAAAAAATAAATGTCCATGTTTTCGAAGTGGCAGAAAAGACTGGGAAGCTGAATGTTTGGTGTGTAAGCCTGGTACTTTTGTCTCCGTTTCAAATAAAGGTGTACTTGACTTGCAAGCTCATGGTGACTAAAATACAAAAAGGCAATTCGAGGAGAGAGTTCATCAACCAAATTAACAGATTATTTATCAAAATCTGGCATTAAAACTGAGGATACTGTTGTTGCAGCAGAGGGGACTTCACAGTAAAACATCATCACAATTATTTTACCAATGTACATAAAACATGGGATATTTTGAAAACCCTCTCCATCCAGACTCCCTTCCCAGACAAGGCAATAAGTTCCTCAGGGTGTCCTCTTTTTTTTATGTTCAAATATGGTAAAACCCTAGTGGCCTCCTCCTCATTCTCAACGGGTGTGTGTGATCTATCGGAGCTGGTGTCAGTACTCTTGGTGTCTATTCCTTTCACCCATGACATAATACTTGATTTTTGTGAGGTATTAATTTTCGATCACTTGTGTTGGCGGTTGTGGCACTATGCTGTGTCTCTGAAAGCTCAAGAGGATTATGAACACTCAAGTATGAGCTAGCGTTGTATTGGCGTAGCTAAGTACGTAGGCTGCAATTTTGACACATAAACTAATTTTATTAGAAAATATGAAAACCTGTCTCAAGCTTTCTGAAACTGATTACGTAAATCCAGATGAAAAATTTACATTTTTTTTATTATAAAAGTTTTAATTCCTAATTTTTCAGTGCACACAACAAATTTCCAGGGTCATCTGGCATACCACCTGGGGGTGCTCCCCTACCACTGATGGTATGCGTACCACAGTTTGAGAACCACTGGTCTAGAAGGTAGGAAAAGTAGGAAGTAGGAAAGTCCCTCCTACAAGATGTGGATAACGTGGGTAATTGGCCACGGGAGAGAAGGAAGGAAACAAAAGCACTAGCTCCATCACTGAAACCAATGATTTCTTGCTTCTTGCTGATAAGTAGGCATTGTAAGCTGTAAGAATTATAACAATGTTTTCTAAATATATTACATCTTCTGACACTTGAGCATATTTTTTAAGTGCAAAAGTTTACGTTTCACATTATCCTGTAAAAAACACATAATAATGTTTTTACACTTTAGTGATAGGTTTATCTGACTGAGTAGCATTTTTCACTGGTACTGTATAGCAAACTACCGAGCTAAAGTCATGGGAATTTATAAAATGCCATTGCCAATGGCACAAAAAACACCAGGAATAAATAAGCAGTGCATCAGCAGAATAACTGTAATCTGGCATCTGCATTAAAATGATCTATGTTTGGAGGACGTTCCGGGGTAACACATTAACAGCTGAGTGATGGAATTGTCATCTTCTGTTAGCATGGGTTAATTCACTGATGATGAATTCCATTTTGCCTTTGATAGAACTAGTAAAAGTTCTGGGCAGCAATGTGGAGCATTAGTTAAGGTAATGGAATTATAATTGGAAGGTTGTAGGTTGAAATCCCTTTGTTTTGAGCAAAGCCCTTCACCTAAAATGTCCCGTACCTAGCTGTATAAATACCTAAATTACACAGTATCTAACTCTGGAAGTACAGTATGAAATAAAAGCTACCAAGTTAGCAGGTATTTATGATACTACTGAAAGCAAAAAAACCTAGCTAACTGAGAATATTAAAGACAAAATGAAAATTAGGGGATACACAATGTTTCAGAGAGACAGATTTAGAAAGTTATACTATAGAAATCAAGAGTCCCTGAATCTAAGTGGGTCAGATTAATTTTAAAAAAAGTATTATGAGTACAGTATGCTATAGACCAACAAATGTAGATGTTAATTAAATACTTTATAATGAAAAAAAGTTTTTTTTACAGAAGACCTCACTTTCCCATCATGGACTGAGAAAAGCCTGTAAGAATTTCAGCAGCAGAAACTGAATGGTAGTTATGGTTAATGACAGCTTTCTCACCCAGAGCACGTACAAGAGGAAATGCTTGTATAGATCTTGTCTTTTCAAACAAAAAACACAGGATGAGACAGAGTTGAAAGACCCATTTGGGAGCTGTGATCATAATATGGTGTGCTTTGAAGTATATTTTGAAACTGGACAGGATGAATCCAAGGCAAACATTTACAACATCCAGAACGTAGACTTTGACACAATGACACACAGTTTAAAATAAGTAAAACTGGATAGATATGAAATTCATGGAAAATGTACAGTATGATAACAGTTTTAACATATTTTACTGTTATTACTTTATCCCAAAAATGCATGTATCAAAAGCTAGAAAAACAGTATCCCAATGGTTCAACAAATCAATAAGGGAAAATAATCTTTAATAATAAAAGTGTTTCATTAAATGATTAAAAAAACACCAGGACCACTTTATGAAAAAGACTATGATAAATTGCCAAGTACATGTTAAAAGATATGTTAGAAAGGCCAAGAGAGAAATTTAAATAGATATTCCAATGGTAAAACAGTAATACATATTACTTCAGTACTATAACAGCAAATAAATTCAGAAAATAATAATAATGAACATTTCTAGACAGTGAAATGGAAATGGTTGATGCGTAAAGAGTGTTCCACTCAGGTATTCGCTAAGCAGGAAGTTACAAATATACCTCAGGCAGTGGAAAGACAAAGTTGTTTTGGACAGTTTTAGTACAGAAGACGATGCAATGTTTCAGGTAGTAGAAGAACTCAAGATAAAAAAAATATCCAGGGCCTAATGGTATCTAACCAACTGTACTCAAGGAAACAAGAATTCTTATTCAGATGCAACTCTTCCAGTAGTTTGTTAGCAGGAGTTGGTAAGCAGGAGATATGAAAAAGAATAAGAACATGTAAAAATTATATCTTATAAAAGCATCTGCCAAATAAACTAGAAGTAAATAACTAAAATTATGTACTGCATACAATTGGTGTAGTAAGCTCTATGCTGATTGTTGAGAAGTTTAAGCCAGTAAGATGGGTGGTGAAGAGGTGATCAGGAAGGAAACAAGAAGTCTTAAAGCTTTTGGTACATATTAAGAGCAAGCTAATTTCTCAGTGATACAGTGACAAAATCTTTTTTTTCCTTTCCTGTCAGATGTTCTCCTGTTTTTTCTTGCTGGTCAGATGACCAGGACTGGTTTTATAATGCAAAAGCACACCATGCTAGGATTGTGTGCAGGCATGAGCTTCAAGAAGAAAACTGTGGTCTTGCACTGTCCAGCTTTTTACTAGCATGTGTTCAGCCAAATGTATAGCCTGACTGATCCAATTTCTGCAAAATAAAATCATAACAGAAGACAATGAGGCTCTTTCATAGGGCCTGTAAAAACCTCTTTGCCTCTTTGTCCCTACTTAAAGTATTATTACATCCTTGGTGTGATCTTGTCACCCTAAGGTATGTCTCACTCAAAGAGAAATTCCTCTTCACCCGTAGTGCCATTGGTTAGGGAAACCACCATTATTCTAAATAGAACCATTTAAAACAATGAATATACTTTGATGGAAGACTGTGTGCACAACAACAAAGCAATAATTCAATCAAAGCTTCCAGATGATGTAATGTGGACGAACCACAAGATTAAATTACGGCTTTTTATTTTGTTCAGACATCCATTTGGTGTTACTCTTTGTCCTTATAATGTATTGATTTTGTTGGTGTACAGAACTCAGCGTTTGCGGTTTAATGAATCAGACTTTAAATTCTTACATTTCATTATTGCATTCTGACAAAGCATGTATTTTTTATTCAAAGATGGTAGATAAAATAAGCAGACTAAATGAATGTGTGTCTGTTCTTTTGCATCAACAAGATAACAATTATGAGGCAACAAAGTTAACAAAGACATGCTTTTACTAAAAAATACCTTAAAAAAACCCTAACTGAACAAGTCTGCCCACACTCATTTTCTATTACCTACTGAAAAATTACAGTGTATCTAATATACTGTAAAAAGAAATGGTGTACGTTTCACTGTAGTGTGCTCCTAGCCTTTGTTTTTAGAAGTCGAAGATACAGTATCACAATATTCATCTATCCATTTTCTAACTGCTTTATTAAATACAGGGTCACAGAGGGGCCAGAGCCTAACCCAGCAAGCAACGGCCACTAGTCAGGATAAGCCCCGGATAGTTCATCACATATCACAATATTCTCTAAACCTAAAGACTCTGCAGTTAAATTATTTATTTTTAAGCAAAAAGGCTGCTTTCTGAAAAGTGGTCTTTCTGAACTTTCTGAAAGTTACCATATAAAACTCTAGAAAAATGTACTGACTGCAATAAAGATGAAAACCTTGTTAACTCAAAACACTTTTCCGAGCAATCCATGTTTTACAATCCAAACTAAATATAAGTGCACCTTTGTCGATGAATTACCAAAAATGTCTAATTCATTTATCCAATGATCTTGACTCTAAAAATGCACCAATGAATGATTTGGAAGGGTGATTTTTCTTATACCCAAATACCAGACCAGATACACTGTAAAAGAGAATTGTGAATCACAGAAAAAAAAACAAAATACCCTTAAACCAATCTACAAAAAATAGATACTTCTATCAGAAAATATCAGCAATACGGGTCCTGACTTCAATTTAAAATGTTAAATTAAAAAGGGATAGTTCTAAAGGGTGATTTAAAAAATCCAGACACTCTCCAGAATGCTTTGAGGGAATTGCTTTGAAGTGACACTAATCCTTTGGAATTTATGACACAACTTCCAGCTTTCTTATTAATATGGCCAAAGGTGATCTGTGCCTTGACAGTCTGACCCAAAAGTATAAACAAGCAGCAGAGGTCTGGGGACGCTTAGTACTGAAGACTTGCTCATTAACGGGAATGGAAGAGTGCTTGTACTAACCCAGCTTGGCATGGCCAAAGCAGAACACACAGCCGTCAGCCCCATTCACCACTGACTGGATAACTTCCGCCACAGTGCCGGCACATACTTCAGCCTGTCGGGAAGCAAAGGAGAGGGTTATTGTGATACACAACCACAGAAAACAGAGACCTCAGAGGAAGGAGGAAATTGACACAGAAAACATTTTGATATTGACAAGACATGGGACGCTGGCAGCTCGGAAAAAAAAAATTGCAGCAATATACTTCTAACTCCTCAGCAACTGCAGCTTTGGAGAAAGTTAGACCCACATTTATTTCTACCTCACATTTCATTCCTCACATTTAGAAGACTTTTCTTTACTGTTTAGGTCAACATGGCTTAATTTAATTCTAAATACATATCAATAAACTAAGAGAATACTTAAAGGCAATATTTAAATCCTAAGATTTTATCAAAAAGAAATTGCAATTTTGATACATGTAAATTTGCTTCTCATTATTTACAGTACTGTATCTCTTGCTATTTTAATAGAATGCATCTATTGTGGACCTCTGGGAGGAAGATGTGTCCTGATCGATGTTTTCTGGAAACATTAAATTATTGTATTAACTTTTTGATCATAATTTGTATTCACATGTTTATTAAGATACATTTTAAAATAAATCTCTCTTCACAATTGAGCAGTGAAGTTAATTATTAGTCTGATATTAAGACATTTCATAAAATAGTAACAAAACCAAAACAAATCACAGAATCAATCTCCTGACAGCACTCAAGTAAGAATTCTGCTGTTCAAGAACTTTTGTATTGCAAGAGCTACAGTACTGTAGCACTAACTTACGTATAATGTATGATTATAATTCACTTGGCTCAGTCAGCCCTAGATTGTCAATTAGAAATCAGAACTACCTGTGAGGCATCATGCGGGAAGGCAGCATCAAAGGCAAACATCTTTGGTGGCACCTGACTGCCTCGTTTCTGGGTGGATTTCTGAGGGCCGTTGGAAGCTGGGTCAAACAGAGTGATCTGCTTCTTGCGAGGATCAACCTTCAAGAAGGAGCTGGACTCCGATGTATCTCCCGGAGAGAGGGGGCAGACACGCAGCATGACTTTCACCTGGAGGACAGATTGCGGGTTGTTAATGTTCCCCACTGAGTCACCTTTAAAACATCCATCGATAGCAACTGGGTTTCACTTGAAAAGCATAGTAGCCATTGAGATGCTAATTAGAGACAGACAAGACATGTTTGACAACCCACAGACTCCTAAAGCATATCATGGTGAACGGCAGTCTTTTTTCATAAAGATAAACTTTTTGAAAGCCTTTTAAAAATAATTACTGGACCAGCAATGCTGCAGACCTAGAACTAAACATCAGAATATGGCGGCAAGAGCTTTTCATGTCTCCACCGTTGTTTACATTTGCAACTTCAACAAGGTTTTCTTCATTTGTTCAAAAATGTGCTAACAGAATTTAGAAGTAATCTGCTTTACCAAAGTTTCTCCTTTCAAGTTATTGTCTTTTTTCTTTTAACAAAGCAAGGATTTAACATAAAGGAAATTAAACATGGAGAGCACATGGAGTATTAAATCCTGCCATGGGATTAAGACAGGTCTGTCAAAAAATGCTGGGATTATAATAAATATGCCTGCTTTTCAAAAATCAGTAGTTAAAGAAGCCTAGCACAGTGACACGAACAAGCAGATTTACTTCTCACATAATTTACAGCATGATTGCAGTTGTTTGGATGAGCTGAATAAAACCCAAATGATTTAGTGCACTTTGTAACAGAGGATTTTTCAAGATGTTCTGCACTAGAACGAAGCCTGCACCACCTTTCCTGGATTGCAAAATTTCCCAAGGCAGGAATATACTGAAAGCCAATATATACGAAGAAATTAAATGAACATGTATAGTATGCTTTTCACTAGCCAAGTTAGATAGATTGAAGAAGATTTGGCACTGAAATAAAAATCTTTGAATGCCTTTCTGAAGGTTCTAGAACAGTGGCTAGATGTCCTCAAAGACTGTCCAGCAGTTTCACCCAGAAACAAAGGAAAAGTTCTCAACTGGAGTCAAGATGACCTGTAAGCCTGCCTTTGTTTTTCTCAGAAAATACTTAACTACATTGATTAAGTTGATTTATGCAACTCCAAAAACATATTTGGAAATGGTGATTTCCAATCAACACAAACTGGCTTGTCTTAACTAATGTAAATCAAAGGCTTCGAAACCATCAATTCAATAAAATCCCATATAAATAAGTAAAATAAGCTATTTGCTTAGAGGTATAACAGAAAACCAAGAATTTCCAGTAGAAAACCAACACTTTTATCTTAAAAAAAGATTTCTGTCCTGATGCATACCCTTTTAGGTTTACCATTAACACATGAACCCCATTGCCATTCAGTGCAGAGCTCTGTATGGACGACTAAGAAGTATAGCATCGTGCACTTACTAAGGAGAAAGAAGAGCAATGTGGAAACAATTGCTGTCATATTCAGCTCTGTCATATTCAGGCAAGGCTGGGACATGTTTCCTCCCAGAAAGGGCCTTTTGGGAGGGCAACATGGATTTCTGGGCTATTAATTACTCAAGTTTTTGTCACACTTTTGGCAGCCTTTGGAATTAAACAGCATACGCCTAATTAGATGAGATAAATCAAATGCCAAATTTTAAGGGAGGAAATTGGCTTTTCATGCCTCACTTCCTGTGCACCATTATTCTTTTATTCTTGGCCTGCATGCACACAAATCCCTTGTAATTAAACTGCTTAGAAGATACCAGTTAGAGATTAACAAGGCCACTCACACTCACTGCCAGAAATTCTTAGTGCAGACCCAATAATTAGTCACAGACTTACAACAATGTCAGCCCTTGTACACCACCTTAATAAACATTATTAATTCTTTTCTCTGATGTTTTAATACAGCAAGATACAAAATTCATTTGTCAAGTAACACTGAAAAGAGCCTTCATTGTTAAACATGACTTAATGGACCTTTTAAACTATTACGATCAATCAACCAATAATGTATGTGTGTAATATACGGTAGGTTGACACCAATCAGTAATTAAAATGGGAGTTGCTTTTGATTACTAACAATCTCTACACTGATCAAAGAGTAGCATAAATATGATACTCTAACCTCTACATATTAAAATTTCATTAAAGGAGTGATACCCGTGGATGTGTGAAATGAGTGTGAACCATGTTTACGGTAAAAATAAATAATAATAACATACTGTGAAAACTACCAAGATGAGGTTTACCTTGACCTAATACATCCACACTATCTTCATTCTTATTCTTCTCAGTTGTAAAAACTCTGCATCATGGAGAAACAGATATTTCTCAACATTAGAGGTTTATCAGCCTTGTTCGTATCGATCTACCATTCCAGTTGCATTTATTGGTGTTTAATTATTTAAGAGAGATATTACTTAGAGTAATATGGTCTGCACTGTTAAACCACAGATCGAAGAAACTAAGCCTTCCAATCTTCTTAATGGCATGTCTTTTCAGGCACACTACAAATTTCCACTGATATATGTGATTGGGAAGACGAATTTAAGTGGTGATATCTAATTGATTTTTTAAGAGGATGAAGAAGAATGTGTGCACAGAGGTGATTACATACTTATTATAAAAAAGGCAATAGTCAAAAAATGATTACACAATAAGAACCTGAGCAGATTTCTGAAGTGTAGCTGCTCCTAATGTTCTAAAAACAGGTACTCAGATTGTATTTCAAAACAAACCCTTTTTATGTACTACATCTATAATTCTTCTTGTTAAATAATAGATACAAGAAGTAACCAATAGTGACCAATTGAACATAGCCCCTTTTAAAGACTGATTTTCTATAGAGAATATATGACTTATTTGATGTGTTCCATATTAGTGACCCTATCTGTAGTGTCTAAGGAGCTAAAATAGCTGATATTTACCTTAAGGACAGATGAGATTGGACAAGCACGGTTATTTACGGGCTGAGACTACTTTACAGAGCACAGTCAATTTATGGGTTTCAATGTGAGCTAAGATGAGATTTTGACCTTTAGGAAAAGTCAGAGGTTCTGGACAAGGACTTTTTAGATGGAGTTCATTTCCCTTAGTGACCCATGGTAATGCTTTCCTATATGTCTATTCATAATCACTGAGAACCTATGTACAGTCTGGAAGAAGAAATTATATGATTTGATCTTTAAGAGAGGTAATCAAAAGATTTTTTTTTTACCAGAGCATATAATAGTTACTATTTGCATTCCATAGTAATTTCTATTTGTACCACCTAAACAGTTACAACCAGAGATGGAAATGGAAATGGAAACACTCAACACCTATAGCAGTCCAGGGACATGTTTCCCCAAAGAACTGTATTTGTAGCTTAAATTACAAATATTGCATTAGAAGCAAATCATCCTAAATATCCTGATGATGGCCATACGAAACATGTTTTCCTATCACTCATTGAAAGTAGAAAATATTGGGTGTGAACATCTGTTTTTTATTACAATTGATTGAGAGATCAAAGTACCTAAAACACCCACGGAATTCTTTCTAGCACAAAGACATCTTTCAATGGTTCGGATTGCCAAAATGGTCCAATGTCTTTCAGATCTTATGTGAATTTTAATCACTCTGCCAACACATTTCCCCCTAGTATTTTCACTATGGGAATGATGTGCTCATCTTTTCCCACACATTTACATGTCTTGAAATTGACCTTTTGCATTTGACTTTTAGTGGAGATTAAAGGTCACAGATAAGGACATGTTTTGATACACAGGGTTTCCTATTTATGCTCCTTTATAATCATGAACCTATTTACACTTTGTTAAGAATTCTAATTTTAATTTTAAATTTTGATTTTAAAGTACTTTGATATATCCAATATTACAACCGAACTCTCCGATTGACTTACCTGTCAGAAACAATTCTAAATCTTGGACATGATGTAAAGCTGTCCAAATTGTGTGCCTGTACTTTCATTGGTTTCAATACAAAAGTTATTTTTGGAATATTGTGAGAATCTCACAAATCATTGCATATTAGAGTCTCACCGTGTGACAGATCAGCTTCATTTCCACAGTCTATGTTAGAGACATGTGAGGTCTGGGACACCATGATCAGGTTCATGAGATCGTATCTGATTGTATCAGATGCAATATAGTATATGATAATCTTTAATTGTGTTAGTTTGGGGCAGTCACATTTTGTTTTATTGTAACTATATTCAAGAGAAGCTGTTGAAGTGTCCCAATTCAAGACTGTAATTGAGTAAACTCTACAATTCATCACAACTGTATCATAAACATAGCATAACTACATTTTGAGGAAAACTGATTCCTGTGGAAGATTGCTACAAGACATCAAAAAAGGAGAAAGAAGAGGAGAAGAAAAATAATGTTTTCACAATCTATTGAATAAAATAATTATTTCAGAAGTGGCAAGCTAAAAAATGTTTAACATGACAATTTTGCCCAGCATTATTCTGCTAATAAATTCACTCTTCTGTTCACCGCAGGAACACAGTTACTAATTTCATCCCTCATAATTCCACGTCTCTTTGCCTCCACGATCACTACCACCATTTTCCACAGTCTGCCTCATATGCCAAGCACAATCAATTCACTCTCCCACAAATCTTTGAAAAACCCAACTGCTATCCAACAAGTCAGCCGATGTAGCCCCATCTCACACTTGACAGGCTCACTATTCAATTTAGAGCTAGCTAATGGAATAAAGACCATTTTCTCCTTTAACAAATATCACCAGGAGGCTTCTTTCTGCATGTAGATTGCTGTGCAGACTGTTTTATGTTTGAGATTTGCAGCTATTGTACTGTATTTTGCCTTTGCTTTCACTTAGAGAGCCTGGCACTGGTAAAGCAGATAACAGGCGAATGGAGATTTTTCTTTTTCTAACAGGCACATGGAGGTATTTAACTATATGTATGGTCCTTGCGTCAAAAAAGGGCTTCAGGCTAATATATTTTACACCAGGATGAATAATTGTTTTTTGTTTTATGAAAATAACAAAAATACTGTATGAAAAATGCAATAGAAACTGAGCAAGTTTTCCTTTTTGCATCATAGATACAGCAGGTCA